AACCGGGTGACCCCCCCCCAAAAAAAACCGGACCTGGTCTGTGTGACCCGCCCCCACTGAACTGAGCTAGGTCTCTGTGACACTCCCCCACCCCTGCGAATTGGGCCAGGCCTCTGTGTTGTTCCCCTCCCTCCGTACCCGGAGCCTGTGTCCCTCCCTTCCCCCCAACCGGGCCAGGTGTCTGTGCCCCTCCCCCCAACCGGGCTGGATTTCTGTGCCCTCCTCCCCTGACCTGGGCCTGCTCCCCCCGAACGGGGGGCAGGTCCATGTCCTTCTCCCCAAACCAGGACAGGTCTGTGACCCCGCCGTCCCTGAAGTGGGTTCACCACCCCTGAACCAGGTTCACAGGACTGAGACCTGGACCCACCCCCCTATGCCAGGGGCTGCCTCCCTCCCTTTGAACGGGGCCAGGTCTATGCCCCCCTTGCATGTTTCCGGATGGGATGGAAGGACCCCATCATCCCTTCCCCCGGCAGGCTTCAGGGTGGCACCGGCCTCTCCCAGTCCCGAGCTCTAACTTGGCACAAAGGCCAGCTGGCCCATGGGCCGCTCCCTGTTCCGTTCTGAGAGCCAGGTGCCAACTGGGGGCAGGGGCCACCCTGTCCCTGGGGGGTCGTGAGGATGCAGAGTTTGCTTGTAATTCTCCCCCTTACAGGGTAAGCGACACAGGCGGACCCCAAAGGGGGAGGGGTAGCAAATAACCTGCTGTCCTCTCCAGCACCCCTGCGCTGTGTCCCCTAGAACCCAGCCACGGGGAGACATCCTGGGATCCCACCGCCAGACTCTCCAGCACTGGGCAGCTGTCATGGAGACAGAAACAGGAGAGTCCCGGGTGCTGTGTGTCGGCTGGCAAAGCGCTGGACTAGGTGGCTGACCGATCTGCTCTGGCTAGGCCTGTGTCCCCGTGGGCATCGCTGGGCAGTGGTGGCGGCAGGATAGGACCCTCCGGCTGCTGAGAAACATATAGATTCATAGATTATAGGACTAGAAGGGACCTCGAGAGGTCATCGAGTCCAGTCCCCTGCCCGCATGGCAGGACCAAATACTGTCTAGACCATCCCTGATAGACATTTATCTAACCTACTCTTAAATATCTCCAGAGACGGAGACGGAGATCTCCTCGGTCCTGTCCTGCTGGCCCTAGATGCCTTGCCTAACCCTCACACCTCCTGGATGTGGTGTTCTGTCCCATCTAGTGGCACAGAGAACGAGAGCGAGATAGCCACTTGGCTTTTAGCTCATGCAGTAGAGGCTGTTAGCTAAGGCTGTGGAGCGAGATAAATAGAGATATATCAGAGGTCCCAGGTTCGATCCTGTGTGCTGATGACTGGGGTCTGTCGGCGTTGCGTTTCCACCTCTCTAGCCCCTTTCACTGGAGCATGTCACCTCCATAATACCCACATACGGACACCGCTGGGGAAACGACGTGTTGGGGGCACAGATAGGGATAGGACTGAGGAGTCCTGACTCTGAACCTTCTCCTCTCCCACAGCCAGGAATAGAATCGAAGCACGAGACCCCACGCTCTCCTAGGGCTGGAAATAGAACCCAGGAGTCCTGGTTCCATGCTGTAGTCACCAGACAGCCTTGTGTGGGCAGAGCTGCTGTGCGCCAGGCGGCAGCTGAGAGAGCCGAGCTCCCTGGAGGAGAGAAGCGCCTTGGCAGATGTTAGGGGCGTGACTGGTCTTTCCTTTCCCCTGTAGGTTGGCAGCCACGATACTTTGTCCTGGACAGCGGCATCCTGTCCTACTATGACTCTCAGGACGACGTGGGCAAAGGCAGCAAGGGCAGCATCAAGATGGCCGTCTGTGAGATCAAAGGTTGGTGCCTTGCACTCCCCTGCTGGGTGAGAAGCTCGTGCGGGTAGTGGGGGGCGATTGGACCAGGAGGGGCTGGCACACTGTGCTGCTGACCTGGGATCCTAGCAGGGCAACGGTCCAGAGTTTAATGAACACTGTGGGGCCAGATTCTCCAATGGGCCCTTCCCATCCCTTTCTGCTCTCACCTGCCCCTCCCCCCGCAGACAGACAGACAGACACCCGCCCAGACACATATATCTGGGCTATTTCTGTCCTCCCCAGTCTCTGCCCCCTTAGGATTTGTATGTCGCTTCTACCTCTGAGCGCAGTTGTGGTGCCACTGAAGATGTTTCACTATTCACTATTTCACTAGGAGGGTGGTGAAACACTGGAATGCGTTACCTAGGGAGGTGGTGGAGTCTCCTTCCTTGGAGGTTTTTAAGGCCCGGCTTGACAAAGCCCTGGCTGGGATGATTTAGCTGGGAATTGGTCCTGCTTTGAGCAGGGGGTTGGACTAGATGACCTCTTGAGGTCCCTTCCAACTCTGATATTCTATGATTCTATGATTCTATGTACCTCACACCCCAAGGGAGCTGATCAGTTGTGTGGGAGGTTTCCCTTGGATTCAGTGGGTCCTGAAACCCCTCAGAACCCCGGCTTGGTCTGCGGTCTGCAGCCAGCTGGGGGTTTTACTGGGGGGGGGACGGGACAGGACAGCTCCCCAGTTTAAGGATCACCACCCTGGAGATTATTCCAGGGCTTTGTCCAGTCTAGTACACAAATTCCACAAAAGAGTGTGTGGCTGTTGGAATCAGGCACAGAACCCAGGTGTCCTAGCACGCAGTCTCCTGCTCTAACTGCTAGACCTCACTCTCCTCCCAGAGCTGGGAATAGAACCCAGGTGCCCTAGTGGTCAGTCCCCTGCTCTAACCACTAGACCTCACTCTCCTCCCAGAGCTGGGCATAGAACCCAGGAGTCCTGGCTCCCAGTCCCTTGCTCTAACCACTGGACCCCACTCCCACTCTCCTCCTGGAGAAGCCCATGGTCTGCAGAGCTGGATCGTGTCATGCAAGGTGAGAACAGACTCTGCTACCCGAGCACTGGGAACTCGCCCAGCGACTGTCTTGTCCCTGCAGTGCACCCCACCGACCCCACGCGCATGGAGCTGGTGATTCCAGGGGAGCAGTATTTCTACCTGAAGGCAGGGGGTGCTGCAGAGAGGCAGAAGTGGCTGGTGGCCCTGGGCAGCTCTAAAGCCTGTTTGGGCGAGAGCAGGAGCCAGAAGGACAAAGGTGGGTCCTTCCTGAAGGGAGGGGGTGGGCACCATGCAAGGGAAACGGTGATCTCTCTTGGGGTGGGTCAGATCTGGGCCTGGAATAGCGGGCAGGGGGGAGCTGTATGGCAGGAGTAAGGGACAGATCGGGGGGTTGGGGGAGCCCAGCCCTGGGGCAGCAGGAGGCAGAGGGTTGGGACTGAGGGACATCGGCCAAGACTGCAGTAGCAGAGGGGTGTGGAAGGCCTGGCTGCACCCTTCAGTTTTGTGATGGGGCGGGCAGCAGAGAAGGGCTCAGGTGCGGGCGTTCCCTCCTCCTTAGTAAACAGTCACTCGTCTGTGACTGCAGAGAACTGGAATTTCATGCTTCTGACCTGCTGGTTATGGGGTGGGGGGCCCAGTAGTGGATGGCCTGACCCCAAAGCCCCAGCCCACTAGAGGGTACTGTGAGGTGGTGGGGGCTCAGTGAGGGGGCGCACTCTCCCCTTGCAATGAGCACAGACCCCAGAGTGCAGTGGTAGTAGGCACTAGGTTGCAGAGAGTGAGGCTCAGTAGGAGGCGCTCTCCCCTTTGGGTCAATGCTGAGCCCAGAGCAGCCCTACGGGGTGTTGCGCTGGAGAGTGGGTGACTCTAGTAGGGGGCGCTTTTTCCTCTCTGGGTCAGTGCTGAGCCCAATGCCACCACACAGGACAGGTCCACTTATTAACAAGCCCAGTGCACGCTGTAAGAACTGGGGCATCAACCCCTGTGTCCTGGCTAAATTCCAACGTGGGTCATTCCATTCTGGCTCCCCTGACAGTTTCTGCTGGATCCTCTGTTTTTCTCCACTTCCTGTCTTAGACTAGTGCAGTGTTACTGCAGGTTGTTAAACAGATGCTACGTTCCACACCAGAGGTGGCTGCGTTTCAGTGGCAGGGGCGAAGCAATCCCTGTATGTACCATACAAGGCCTGGGGCTGCAGAGGAGCAGGATAGGAATGAGGCAATATTGATCTTCCTGTCTCTCTGCAGACATGCACCTGAGCAGCGAGTCCCTGGGCCGGAAGCTGTCGGAGCTACGGCTGTACTGCGACGTGCTGACTCAGCAAGTCTTGGACGTCCAGGAGTCCACGCGGCCCCAGGACAACGGCTCCCCGCTTGATATTGAGGTTCAAAGGGAGCGGGGAGGTTAAAGGGGAACTGTTGGGTTTTAGGAGGATCTGGAGGACACAGGTCCTGGCTACCCTCTCCCTCCAGCCGGGGCACAAAAGCCGCCTGATTCCAGCAGCTCAGAGAGGGCTGCGGCACACAGTGTAGAGTCAACCAGCGGAACTCCCTGCTGCAGGGCTGTGCTGCGATGTAGCTGGGATCCTCATGGGGTATGAGGCTTCATGGCATAAGCGGATGGGGCAGGGTCCAGGAGTGAAAGTGGATGTGAGCCCCCTGATCTAACCGCTAGACCCCACTCTGCGCCCATAGGCGGGGAAAGAACCCAAGAATCCCGATTCCCACTCCCCTGCTCTATCCACTAAGCATGACTCTCTCTCCAAAGCTCCTTCTCTTCTGAGCAATGCCTTGGCACGCATGTCTGCGATGCCACAGAGCCAGCTAAAAAAGGGGCAGGGAGGTCACTGACTCACTGGGTGGCCGGGGCAAGTCACTGCCCCTCTCTTTGCCTCGGTTTCCCCACCTGTACAGCAGGCTTGGGGAGGCTGGTGCTACAGAAGCGCAAAGGATTGTGGGTGGCCGTTCCTCTCGGTAACCCTCTGTCCTCCCTATTCCCAGAAGATGAACGAAGCCTCCTCCCTGCTCAGAGCCACCTGCAGCCAGTTCATCTCCACGCTGGAGGAGTGCATGAAATTCGCCAACGCCCGCCTGGCACCTGAGCTCTACCAGCCCTCGCCGGCCCCCCTGCCCCAGGACTTCGTGGGCACCAAGCTCCCGCACTCCCATAGAGTAAGAGCCTCCCTGGGGCAGGGGGGCACCATTTGGACTAGCAATGGCATCTGCCTAGGACAGATCAGAAATCCTGCATGCTTCGCTTCTTTGCCAGCCCCAAGTGCGGGGACGGGGCTGTGTGGGTCGGCTGGGAGCTAGCCGGGCTCTGGTCATGGCCTCAGAGAGGGCAGAGCCCGGGCAGTGCCAGGGCAAGCTTCTGAGCAGGGTGTCTGGGGTCAGTTTATCCTTGGCCTCTTTGCTAAGGACATTGCTATGATCCCAGCGTGGCTCATGCTGCCCCCCCGGCTATCATCAGATGTGTGCCCGCGCTGGCAGTCTGAGCTGGATCTGAGCTAGCTCCAGAGCTGCCCGGTGCCCCCAGCTCGCTCGGTTCCATCTGACCCTCTCCCGCTTTCTGGCCTCACAGGTGAGACGCTCCCTCAGCCATACGGGCATCGTGTCCCCCGACAGGTGAGCAGGTTGGCCGAGGGGGAAGGGAGGGGGGCTCCTGGGTGGCACAGAGGGGCTGTTTCACTCTGTGCTGGGTGAGGATCCTGTGGTCCCTGCGCTCGGCTGGGGGCTGAGACCGAGCAGGATGCGGGCAGGCAGCTGGCTTCTGGGTGCCCGCGATATGGGTCCTGGCTCCCTCCAAGCCAGGCCCTCGCCCTGCATGGTGCCGCCCCAGCTCCCCTAGCTGGAGATGGGGAAGGTCCCCAGCCCCCTGGGTGGGTAGACTGGATGGGAGAGGGGAGTGATCAGCCGGGCTCTCCCTTGGGTGCCCACACTTGGTGCCCATCCCCAAGCCAAGGCTCTCACCCTGCCCCCCTCTCGCAGAGGGGCGGAGGCGCCCCGGCCCCCGGTTCCACCACAGAAGGGCGCCGTGACGGTGGTGCGCAACCTGGAGGAGATGGTGATGTTCCGCTCGCAGCACTGGAGCCAGCAGGGCCCCGTACCGGATAGCCCTGTCGGCACCATCGTGGAGGAGAGGGAAGGTAGGTGCGGCGGAGCAGCCTCCCCACCACCAGGGGGAGCCGGCACAGTGCAGTGTGGTTACATGGCCAGCTGGGGGCAACTGGCTTCTTGTCCCATTGCAAATGATTACAGGGATTGAAGGACAGCATCAGCCCCTGCCCCGCCCCCCTCCAGCTCCACCCTGGAGGGCACGCCCCTTTTCCTCCCCCCCCCCCCCCATGGGTCCTTTGGGGCTGAGGTTCATGGCTCCCATGTGTCACTCCCAAGCTGTCTCCCCTGCGGGCAGGTGTCCGTCTCCATGCTGACGGGCAGCCAGGGCCCCACTGGTGAGAGGGGAGCAGGGGAAGCAGATTCTAGTGGACCAAGCACAGGCCTGTGAACCAGGACTCCTGGGCTCCATTCCCAGCTCTGCAAGACAAGGGGCGAGTCCCTCCCTGTTCCTCAATTTCCCCCAGGATGGCGACGCTGACAGCCTCTGGAGGTGGATGAGGCTGTCCTGCGCAGGAAGTAACAGGAGCCGAGTGACTCTCTGAGGGTACCTTGCCCATGCCCCCTGCCTGATCCAGCCTGGGGACTGGAGCCCTGAGCCAGAGCCCCCCAGAGGCCAGAAGCTGCTGCTCTCCCTAATTCCTCCTCCCCTCCCTCGCCAGAGGCACCGCTGCCCACACAAGGGTCCCCGGCGGAATCGGCTGGCAGTGACAAGCGGAAGTGAGCGGCACCAGGATCCAGGCGCTGCCTCCGGCTCACGTTGGGGGCTTGGGAACTTCTCTGTGCTTGGGAGCTGCCAGGGACCAGCAGAGAACAATGGGGCCGTGTTCTCCCCTCAACTCCTCAGGCTGGCCCCCACCTGTTTTCCCCCTCGCCCTGCGCTGGTCCCAGCTCTGCAGGGAGCGGCGCGGTGCCCTTCTGGGAAGGGAGTAGTGTCTAGCAGGTACAGCAGGGGACTGGGCATCAGGATGCTTTAGTCCTGTGACCCGGGGCGGGTCACCTCCACGCTCTGCGTCCATTTCCCCGTCTGCACGGGGGAGGGTCTGGAAATGGCTTGGATGTGCAGGCGGAAGAGGCCAGAGGGGCGCTGTGGGGTGGTACTGATCAGCGGGTGCCATGGGCGGTGGGAACGCAGGCTCTCCGGGATGAGGGGACAGAGCTCCCATCCTGGGATGGGGCAAAGGGGGCCTCATCCCAGGAGCAGAAGAGCAACATTCTCCTTGGTGCTGATCTCCCCTGGGCGTGGTGCCCTGGCACCTGTGCTGGCCTTATGCCCTGTCTCTAGGTCTGGGGAAGGCGGGGGAAATCTGCTGAGCATGGAACCGGAAAACTGCCCCCTCTCTGCTCCCCAGCCCACGGAGCCCAAACGCCTGCTGCCCCAGCCTCTTGTCCCCTCCCCCTTGCTGTGATGCTGTGCGTGATGCCATCAGTGCAGGAGGGAGGGATCCGGGGTGTCTGCCATCACCAGCCAACACAGTATTAGAGCCTCAGAGAGCCAGCCAGCGTGCTGGTGCTAATGGCCAAATGCGATCCAGCAGGATCCCCTGTTATCCGCAGGAGCACAGCCGGTGTCCCCGCTATGTGGTGTGTCGGGGAGAGCTCTCCCTGCCCAGGAAATAGTACTGCCCCCCAAAAATGGGGCTAAGAGGGGATCTTGCTCTTCTACCTCTTGTCCCATCCAGTTGGTGCCCAGTTCGGTGCCATGGTGCATCAAAGCACCTCTTACAGCCAGGCTTCACCCAGCAGGGGGCGTCCTCTTCACTTTCTTGTCACAGCCTCTGGATCCAGAGGGCGGGTGAGAGGAGGCTGGTTCCTATGATCTGTCTGGGTGCCTCCCTCTGGCCAGTTCCCGTCTGCGCCCTGCTGACGGTTCAAGCCAAGGCCAGAAGCGAGAGCCCAGCTGGCTCTCCTGCCGCAGGGGCTGCTGGGAGCAAAGCCTACGTCTTGGGGAAAGTAGAAGCAGAGATGAGGAGAAAGATGGTGCCAGGGGAGGGTTGGCTCCTCCCACCCGGACTTCACCTGAGTCAGGTGACTACACCCAATGCTAAACTCTTTGGACACTACAGCAAGGACCTGGCCGATTCTCATGGAGCTGCAGAACAGTCCCTGCTCTTGTCCTCTGGCTCTTTGTCCTTTGACACAGGATTTTGTGTCACCAGGTTGGGACTGTTTTTTTGCCGAGGGAAGGCAGCCGTTTCTGCGGAGAGCTCTGCCAAAGATCAGGCCTTGCAATAAAGACTCTAATTTTGAAACAAGTGGCTCGTCTCCATGTGTCTCTTTCCCCCGTGGGGGCTTTTCCCCAGGGCCCGTGGAAGGAGCAGCTGCACAGTGTGGGAAGGCGGCTCTGGAGTCGCTAAAGCCTGAAATTGCTGCAGAACGAAACTGCTTCATCGGAATCGGCAAGCGAAAGGAAGTGCCTGAATCTTCGTGGCTCCGACCCAAACCGCTGGGTCGTTCACGGCGGCTACTGTTTGTTCTTCCCGTCTTGATCCAGGCATCCTTCCGAGCTCTTCCAGACTCTGGGAGCGGCAGGAGGTTCCTGCAGCTCCCCGGGTGTTTAAGCAAAATACAGACCTTGCTTCAAAGCAGCTGTGAAATTCTCTTGGTGTCTTGATCCAACACGGCCTATTTCCCGTTCTTTAGCTCCCGGGTGATCTTGTTTTTGCGGAGAGGGTATTTTAAAGAAAGAGCACAGTGAGTTTGCTGTGTATTTTACCAAAATGCGCAGAGAGGGTTTATTCCCTTGTGGTTTAGAGCAGTGGTTCTCAAACTGGGGCCACCGCTTGTGTAGGGAAAGTCCCTGGCGGGCCGGTTTGTGTACCTGCCCCGTCCACAGGTCCGGCCAATCGCGGCTCCCACTGGCCACGGTTCGCCGCTGCAGGCCAATGGAAGCTGCTGGAAGTGGGGCGGCCCATACATCCCTCAGCCCGCGCCACTTCCAGCAGCTCCCATTGGCCTGGAGCAGTGAACTGTTGCCAGTGGGAGCTGCGATTGGCTAGACCTGTGGATGGGGCAGGTAAACAAACCGGCCCAGCCCACCAGGGGCTTTCCCTACACAAGCGGAGGCCCCAGTTTGAGAACCACTGGTTTAGAGAGAGACCAGGACAGAGTAGTAAAGCCATCCCAACTATTCGTAATACAGCAGAAAAAATCAAGAGCCGTTTGCGACTGAAGTTCTTTCAATCAAATGATCAGGCCTGAAATGCCCTTAGACCAGTGAATTTCTTGCAAATTATCGGTAACAGACACTAGCTTCTTGCTGATGCTAATGCCCCCTTTGCACTGACGGGCCAGTGCCGAGGGGTTGTTCCCCTGCTCGGGAGCAGTGCTGCGTTGTGGCCTTTCATGGCAGATTCTCAGTGGGAGGGGAAATTGGGGAAAGGGAGTACAGTATGTTCGCCTGGCCTGGAGCAGAGGCCGGGTGCTTTGCTGGTACAGGAATACCTGTGTACTCTAGTTTGTCACGTCGAGCTGGCCAAAGAGAGCGCCTGCAATCCCCTGGTGGAAATCTCAGCCCAAACCCCAGAGCCTGGCTCCGGGAATCAGCTGGGCCCTAGCCCCAGTTTGAGGGATTCAGGCTGAGACCGCTCTCTCCTGCGCCTTGCACCAGTGAAGCATGACCTCACGCAAGGAACGACAACGCAGCATTGCTTCCAAGGCTGAATGCTGCCCGCACGCGCCGAAAAAGTCCTCGCGTGGCTGTGCAGCGGCACTGCCTGCTGCTGCCTGTCACAACGGGCCGCACGGTGGTGTCAGATACAGTGGCATGCAGGGCTGTGGGTGCAAAGCAGAATCGGGCCCAATTTGGTTTCCTTCTGTTCCCAGTCTCAATTGAGGTGTTAACTAAAATCACTGGTTAAAATTTCATTTGAACCCTTAGCGGCAATGGGAGGAAACTGTCTCCTGTTTCCTCCCAAAACCAACATTGAGTATCAGTATTTCCCCTTGCAAAGCGTCATTCAGTTGCTCCTAATCTGGTCTTCCCCGCTCCCTATCTAGATAGGCAATTCATAGATCCTAAGGAGCTACAGTGGGCACCTTTCTAACACAGGCCCTAGGACTTGCCTGGGTTACTTCTTTTTACACTAGAGCAGATTTTTTTAGAAAAACCTCCAATCTTGATTGACGTCTTCCTTGCTGGAGAATGCACGAGAGCCCTTGGTAAATTGTCCCAGTGGTTAATTCCTCCCGGCGGTAAAAATTTGCGCCTCTTTTCCAGCCTGAATTTGAGATTTGTTAAAAATTCCAGGGTGTCGGTTGATGTCCAGAAACAAACTTCTCTTGCTCAGCACTTTTGTAAACCTTTAAGTTTCACAACATCCGGCCTGTGATTGACGGGTGTCTCCTCCACAGTAAGCGGTTAGGGACTGGTGCCATTGTCATGGCTCAAAGGTTGGAGGGGTTCCTGTGATGATAGACTGCACAGCTGAGCTGGGAAGGCAGATTGAGGGTGCAGGGGACCCCCTCACACACACACACACTGTGATACTTCAGGATGGTGGGGGAAACGTAAATTCTGAGAGGCCTGTTGCTACAGCCCCCTGCAGCCCGGACCCCAGCTGCCCCGTCAAAGGCCCAGTCCCCTTTCACTTCAGGACTAGTCTGACCACCAGCCCTCCCAAGGGCACCTGGCTGCATAGAGGGCCACACGCCAGCCCCTCCGGCCCCCTTCAATATCAAGCCTGTGCTCCTCTAGCCAAGGTGGTCTAGGGTGTTACTTGCCAATGGGCACCTTTCTGCCCCAGGCAGAGTTCTAGTCTGGGGAGCCAGGTCTCTGCGATGGCCGTAACAATCTACCCATTTCCTTGGTGTTCAGCAGGAGACCGGGTGTTTGATAATTCCAGAGCAAGGAAAGATGTGTTACTTGTATTGTGGCAGCACTTGACAGCCCCAGCTGCGACAGGGTGCTGGGCGCTGCATGGCCACGTTCACTCGTTAAGGACATGCCACATTGCATGTAGTTTTGTGATGCAGTTTCTTTGGCAGAGGAGCTGGTGCAGGCAGCGGGAGCGTTTGTTCCCTGCCTTGTGCTCTCTAACCGGAGTCAGTTCTTAGGGAAGAACTGGGCACTGGTGGTTGGGCTGCAGTTCCTGAAAGGGGATTGGTTGCCTGTGGTTTGTGACCACCTCTGTTCCAGGACAGGTGTGTATAGTGTGATCAAATGAGCTACGTGCCAGGCTGTGTCACTGATTTCTCCTCCTGGGCAGGGAAACAGACCCAGAAGGCCCTGACGTCTGCTCCCACTTAGCAGAAGGGTGAGAGTCATTGGCCAAGTGGGGCATTGCCCACACCTCAGGGGCACGTCTCCCTCTGGCTGTCTCTGGAATGTGATACCCTTTGAACGCCACGGCCGATCGGTTCCAGACTTTCCGGGCATGTTCCAGGCAGCAGTGGGCAGAATGCTGGATATTTTGGTGAAAAACCAAAAGGGGAAAATGGGGAGACTCGGGCATCTGGTTAACAGAGCTAAGGGCTTCACCCACCTTTGGCATTGTCTAGAGCAGGGGTTCCCAAAGGTGGGCTGCGACACAGTCCCGGGTGGGCCGCCACCATGGGCGGAGTTTTGGGGTGGGAAGGACAGCCCCTAGCTACCCCCCGCCTGCACACAGCCCCTAGTTACCCCCTGCCTGCACCCTGAGCTATCCCCTGCCTGCACTCAGCCCCTAGCTACCCCCTGCCTGCACCCAGCCCCTAGCTACCCCCTACCTGCACCCTGAGCTACCCTCTGCCTGCACCCAGCCCCTAGCTACCCCCTGCCTGAACCCTGAGCTGGCTGAAAATTGAAGATGAGATCAGGTTGAGCCTCACTAACATATGTTCCCAGCTGCAAAAACTGTGCAAGGAGGAGCAGGCACGTCCGTCCCGGTAAGAAGACTCCTGGTTTGTAAGTTATTTTATATTTTTATTTATAATATTTGATTTTGTTCTAATTAGTAGAGAATAGGGCTGGGTCTTTGCTTACACAGCACAGACATTCAGATCCTTTCTCTCCCCCTCCCGCCCCCCAAAATTGAACACACAATATAGTGCTCAAAGTTGGACAACCATTTTGTTTTAAAATAAAATACCGCCGTGTTTTTTAAACAATGTGGTTAACGTTGTTGTGTTGCTCCTGGTTTGGTTTTATTCACAATTGTGTTTTCCCTGTTTGAACGCCCCATTTTGCTCTCACTGTACCTATTGCAGCTGCACAGGCGGGCCTCGAGTTGGGAGCCCCCCGGGGTTAGAGATCAAAGAACGGGTTGGTGGCAGCCGTTAACACCTTCCAGCATAGGACTACCCCCATCTCAGCTCAGCCCCTTGTCCTCACGGAGTTTTAAAGGGCTGGCACCCTGAGTGACTTCTCCCCCAGAAAGAAAAGCAATAAAAGTGAGCGGGGAGGAGTGTCACAGAGTCCCTGTCAGGGTGAGGAAGAGGGACATGGGGGACACCCCCCCGGCGTGTGGGGAATGGGGTGCAGAGGCCTTGCCATGGTGAAGTGGCGAATAGGGGGCCCACAGAGCCGTGGCAGTGAGGGGTATGTATATGTATTGAATCCCTGGCACACCCAGCCCCAACCTGGGTCTTGTTAGGGCTAATTCACTTGCCTGAAGGCCTTTGACATCTAAGGATAGGGACAGTGCCAAGAAAGGCAATTTAGTATCGGTACTTACTGATCCATCCAGTACAGTGACGATTCTTCATCCAGCACCCGTCCATCATAGCATCTGATCACCTCACAATCTTTTATGTATTTATCCTCGCACGCCCTCTATGGTCCCCAGTGCCTGAAACTGAGGCACAGAGGCTCGGATCCTCAAAGGATCTCGCCTAAGTGACCTGTCCAAGCTCCCGCAGGAAGGCTGCGGCCCAGCAGGGAATTGAGGGCAGGTCTCTGGCATCCCAAGCTAGTGCGCGAACCCCTGGGCCATCCTCCATCTCAGTTGTTTGGTATTAAGGCCTCCTTGCCCCCTGCTGTCTCCAAAACCAGCAGGACCAGATTCCCAGTTGGTCTAAACCAGTGTGACTCCAGTTTTGCAGCAATTCAGGAGCTGGCCTGCTAGTGAACTGCCAGTGCCTTACTGGGATTGGAGAGTGAAGTGGGGGGTGGAGGGGACAATGTACTCCGAGCCTCCCCCAACAATGCTATGGGGTGATAGGATGGGGCTTACCCCCCCCCCAATCCCTACCATGCATCAGGCTCTTGGGTTGAGGATGGAGTAGGGTCCAAAGCTCAGACCAGAGGGAGGGCTACACCATAGGATTCCTAGGGGCC